GATGATGCTGATGATGACGATGACGGTGATGATGATGATCGCGACTGCGATGGTGGATGTAGTGGTGATGGAGAAAGAGCAGGATACGCACTGTAAAAGGATCGATGCGAGCGATGAGCTCGAGATGACAGCAAACATGCAGCTTGTTGATGTTTGCTGTTCAGGCTGCAGGGCACCGGTTTGCCGTGTGCGAAGAACAGCACAGTCATCAAGTCCAAGATCGAGCGGCTGCGCCACCAATGGTTGCGAAGTGTACATCCGTGAGCTTGCTGAACAAGGAGGCATTGTGCTCCTGGAAAACCTTGGGGTTGCGCTGCGCTGACGTTTCCCCTTGCCTTAAACCTCCGCTGCATCTCATTATGTAGGATGCAAGCCTCAATCAAGCTTTGCCGACTGGCGGGAGATGCCTGCAACCCCGAAGTCTTTTCGAATCAACCGAGCTCGCATATGGCATCGTGGCTCGGGCGCCTGTTGTTACCATTCACAAACGAGTTCAACTTGATTGACAAGGAAAGGGAAGGCGGAACTTCCAACAATCTGCTGGGCCGTGCCAACACGCGCTGCTCCAGGTCTACTCTAGCCACTGCCCAGTATACCGACTGTAGCAACCGCGCGACTGGCAAGAAGGAGTGCTCGAAGTCGTGGTGCGACAGGACCAATGCAACAGCGCCATTCCAGCCTCGACGCATGCCGCTTCGGAACCCACGATCACAAAATTACGGCGGTAGAATAGTTGTCGTTGTATTTATCACTTGACCGCTCGATGCTTATCATTTTTCAGGTGCCACAAATTGTCGCTCTCGCTCTCTCTCACTCTATCTCTCTTCCTTCCTTCCTTCCTTCCTTCCTTCCTTCCTTCCTTCCTTCCTTCCTTCCTTCCTTCCTTCCTTCCTTCCTTCCTTCCTTCCTTCCGGGCGTTTGGGGGCGGAAGATCCCCCCCCTGCGCGCAAGCGCCACGCCATTGTCCAGTGTCGTTAGTCGGCGTGAAACATGAGGGACGACACCGGAGCGTGCTAGGCACTCTATCCTCTCTCACTCTCTCTCTCTCTACCAGGTGGGGAGAGCTGGGGTAAGTCTGTCCCCAACCCTCCGCGCGCGAGCGCGCACCTGCGGTCCACAGGTGTCTTTTCTTTTCCCCCCATCACTGTGCGATAGGGGGCTCGGCTGTGCGAAAGAAATTGGCTTCCCCCTTGCCTCGTCGTAAACAGCAACATGATACAGCAGTTATTTCACTCCCCTAGGCAAGGGCACAGCTGGACTGCAGGGGCTCTGAGCTTTATTGTACCGTGATCTCCCCCCGTCTTGGTGGGATCACACTCACCAAACTGCACAACTTGCACAAACTCACGCAACACGAAACTGAGGCTCGGACCGAAGAAAACTACTCTGGTGTGTTAGGTTCAACTCAGATTCCCCTCCGGAGTGCATCAGGCAAAAGTTAGGGGAGACGACTGTTGACAGCTTTACGTCTACACCCCTTCCCTAGCATGTTGGGCCATCGAGGTTCGTCTCCCCCTGTCTGCAGGCTCTGGTGCATTCTCCCTTGCAGTCTCACCTGTCGTCGGTTCACTCAGGTGACTGTCTAGACTGCTCTCCCCCCCTTGTTGTGTTAGCTAGCTGGACATCAAGGAACGACATAGGCGGGAAATGCACTGCACAGGTCAGTTTTGGGGGGAGGGAGCAAGGTCTACTGTGCTACAGCAGTGGTGAGTTGTTCGGAGAGCTGCCCCCCAAGAAACGGTCCTAAACAGTCTACATCAGCACTGCA